ATAAATAAGTGTAATGGGCCTGTTTACTTGAACAATTGCAGTGTCTCATGCTCATTGGACTATTTTAAGTCCTAATTTGATTTTAAAAGTCGTCTGTTGTGTTCTCTACAGAACAACAGGCAAGTGCATAGTTTTATATACAGTATCTACTGCAGAACAATAGGCAAATACATGTTGTTATCTTTAGAACAGTAGGCAGGGACATAGTGTTCTTTATAGAACAATATGCCAGATATATAGTGTTCTCTACAGAACAATAGGCAAGTACATTGTGTTCTCTACAAAACAATAGGTCAGTACATTCTGTTCTCTACAGAACAATAGGCAAGTACATTGTGTTCTCTACAGAACAATAGGCAAGTACATAGTGTTCTCTACAGAACAATAGGCAAGTACATTGTGTTCTCTACAGAACATAGCCAAGTACATAGTGTTCTCTACAGAGCAATAGGCAAGTACATAGTGTTCTCTGCAGAACAATAGGCAAGTACATTGCGTTTTCTACAGAACAATAGGCAAGTACATAGTGTTCTCTACAGAACAATAGGCCAGTACATTGTGTTCTCTACAGAACAATAGGCCAGGACATAGTGTTCTCTGCAGAAAAATAGGCAAGTACATTGTGTTTTATACAGAACAATAGGCAAGTACATTGTGTTCTCTACAGAACAATAGGCCAGTACATTGTGTTCTCTACAGAAAAATATGCCAGGACATAGTGTTCTCTACAGAACAATAGGCAAGTACATTGTGTTCTCTACAGAACATAGCCAATTACATAGTGTTCTCTACAAAACAATAGGCCAGTACATTGTGTTCTCTACAGAACAATATACCAGTACATTGTGTTCTCTACAGAACAATATGCCAGGACAAGTGTTCTCTACAGAACAATAGGCAAGTACATACTACATAGTGTTATTTATAGAACAATGGGCCAGTACATAGCAGAGGCGCAACAAGCACTTTTGCTAGNTGAAGTCGAAAAAAAGGAAATTTTAAGTTGTTGCATGCAAATTTGGCTGTGCTCAATTCAAATCGTTTTTTTAATTATACCTTTGACAACTGTAAAATTAACGTTATGAGTCAATCAATTCTCTTATTAATCAAGAAATACTCATTTATATATTCTGAAAAAAAAAACACCAAATACATTTAGAATTTAATCATCTTCATTGAAAAAGTACAGATAATTTTACGTTTTCTCCTGAAGTTATTGAATTTATTATTGGTCATTCTAACTAACATTCATAATCTTATTGGATTTTCGATTTTATAGAATTTCTTTCAAAGAAGATAAACAGGTTAAAGTTATCAAATATGATAATCAGTTAGAAGTTTGCCAAGTACAGTCTCAGAATGTTCTTTAGATTTGGAACTGAGTTTTTGCTACAAACTCAAATTTTCTAATCCCTAATCTTTGCACCTAGTGGTATAAACCTTTGATATCGTGACACAAATGCAATACAGTTCGGAACTTTTTTACATTAAATGTTTACAATAGCCTTTAGCCTTGAGAATTCAGAAAGATAAAAATATTTTTTTTAAAACTAACTATAGTTGAATACAACTTCTAAAAATAACTCTTTTTTGGTTTTGTTATTTCCGGACGATCCTGTGATACTGATATTTGCCAAGCTTTCTTTACATTCTGGAAGGGGGGGGGGGCGCCCCCCCTCTAAGGTGCTAATGGGGGGCGGCGTGCAGCCCGCCCCCAAGTCGAGCCTCTGCCTTCTTCCTTTCATCTTTCATTTCCTTTTTCCTTTCCTATTTTAATTTTCTTCTTTTTTGTCTCAGATAATGTGCAATGAAAAACAGGGGGGAGGCACGTGCCCCTGTGCCCCCCCCCCGCTACGGACCTGCTGATGGGTACTTTTTTATTGTGCCTAAAGATATACGTAATATTACATCGATATACGAATCATTCCGCCTCTTCTGAACTAACTTTCTGACCTACTGCAATATTGGTCATATCGGAACTATACGCCAGCTGTTTATTTTTGTAATATTTGAGGGAGGTTAGGTTAAGACAATCTCTGGGCCGAACGCTGCGGCTAGGCTATAGGGGCCGAACGCCGCGGCTAGGACAGGCAGACACTTTTAGCTTTTGTTCCTTTCGACTACAAGTCTACAATATATGTTCAATAGAGCTGTATAAATTAATTAAATGAACCGTCGTCGAATTCCGCGCTAGAATTAAAAAATAGAATTTAAAAAACCTTCCACGTGGATTTTAGTTTGATTGAACAATACATTGTTCAGTCTCGCACATGATAGTGCGAATGAACGTTAGTCCGAATGAACGCTAGTACGAATGTACGTTAGTCCGATTCGGTAATGTTACATCGTCTATATGCAACATCCCCTCTACTGAACTTCTGACCTACTAACTTTCCGACCTACTGCAATATCGGACCTACGCCAGCTGTTTATTTTAGTATTATTTGAGGGTTGTTAGGTTAAGACAATTTCTGGGCCGAGCGCTGCGGCTAGGACAGGCTAGGGGGCCGAGCGCCGCGGCTAGGACAGGCTAGGGGGCCGGGCGCTGCGGCCACAAGTCAACAAAGTAGCTGTACCACGTGCTAGTAGGGATCGGATGTGTAGTATAGCGGATTTGGCGTAGGTCAGAAGTGGAGTATGGCGGATATGTGTAGGTCGAAAAATACACCGTACCGTCCGATTCGTCCGATCAATCATTAGTGGCAAACGATATTTCGGTAATGTTATATCGTCTATATGCAACATCCCCCCTGAACTTCCGACCTACTAACTTTCCGACCTACTGCAATATCGGACCTACGCCAGCTGTTTCTTTTAGTATTATTTGAGGGTTAGGTTAGGTTAAGACAATTAGGACCCCAAGCACTTATTATTTATATCTAGGAAAACCCTCTAGTCCCTGAACTAGCCAAGGCAGCTGGACCTTGTATAACTGCTAATGATTGTGCGAAGTTGCGTTGTAAAATTATCAATAATTTTCAGTTTTCACTTATTGATTTCACTTAGATATTGACTTATTTAAGACAATTTCTGGGCCGAGCGCTGCGGCCAGGACAGGCTATAGGGGGCCGGGCGCTGCGGCCACAAGTCCATATAGCAGCTGTAATACCACGTGCTAGTAGGTCGGATGTGTAGTATAGCGGATTTGGCGTAGGACACAAGTGGAGTATGGCGGATATGTGTAGGTCGAAAAATACACCACCCGATATTTCACCTTATTTGTATTATATGTATGACACCGAAGAGTGTCATGATTAGTTGATTGAAGAAATTTGACAAAACAAAAGTTTTACGCGGCATATTTCGGTTAATTGCACATTGTCTTGTGGCCGATCCAATCAGAATTTCCTTCATCATAATTAAACCTGTCAGAAATCTTCTGAAGTGATACAAATTTAACATTTTACAACAATATTAATTTATTGGATATTACTGGAATGAATGGAATACTTCTCGATCTTTTATTTTACCTAAAGAAGAGTGATAATTTAAACAAAGTAAAACGCACCAACGCGCGGGTCTGTCCTAGAGAACGATTTTTGGACCCCGGCCCCCCCCCTCCTATCAATTTTGTACATGACCTTTAACTTTAAGCTATTTTGTAATTTCTGGGCCGAGCGCTGCCGCTAGGACAGGCCAGGGGGCCGAGCGCTGCGGCCAGGACAGGCTATAGGGGGCCGGGCGCTGCGGCCACAAGTCCATAAAGCAGCTGTAATACCACGTGCTAGTAGGTCGGATGTGTAGTATAGCGGATTTGGCGTAGGTCAGAAGTGGAGTATGGCGGATATGTGTAGGAGGGGGGTCCAAAAATCGTTCTCTAGGAATATACCACCGCCATGGATAGAGGATGACGATAAATATAAGTGTGCATTTGGCGCAGTGATCTATTTCGGCGGCCATAGCCGAAAAAATGGGGTAAATTTTAAAATTTGTTTCACCAAAATTTGTATAGGCTGTAAATGGTTATACAAATTCCGCTAGAAAGCTGAAACTTTGCATGCAGCATCTTATTGTGATCAGCTTTACGAATTAGGAACATTACTTTGAAAATTTGGGAAATACCAATTGGTTCACACCAACTCATTTATTTTAGCTTGACCAAACAAATTTTAATACTTTAACCAAACACAGAGATAAAAATAAATATTTTTTAGTTCAAGTTGGACCTAATTCAGAACATTAGTAGCATGCAATATTTCAAACTACAGGTAAATTTGGACAAGGAATTTATTTCCGAGGTCATAATTGACTTTGGAGCATTCTAACCGGCGTTCTAGTAGCCAGATGTCACATTATGACTATAAGTTTTACAGGCCGTATATCAATTTATAGGTAATTGGGCATGAGAATTCCATTTCTTGGATTAAAAAATCTTTTGGCCACACCGATCGGGGTGACATGGAAACGCCTCAACACGGAAATGTCTCAAAAAACGTTCTCATAAAACTAATTTAATGTCTTCTCTCATTAAAAAAATATTTTAACAATTATTTTACCATTAATTTAGGGTATGTTAGGTTGCACCGCAGGTTACGGAGGGGCTGAGCGCTGCGGCTTGATGGGCTAGGGGCCGAGCGCTGTGACTAGGACAGGCTAGCGGGCCGTGCGCTGCGACTAGAACAGGCTGGGAGGCCGAGCGCTGCGGCCATGGCTGTGAAAACAGTTAGAATATAGTCTTTTAATTTTAAGTTGAGAGAAAACGACATTAAATTAGTTTTATGATTCTGTTTTTAGAGGCGTTTCCATGTCACGGTGCGCTAGTAGCCTACTGTTACGTAATGGGTCATCTTACAACAGGTTTTGCATGTTGTATGTCGATTTATAGGGTATAAACTTTCTCAAGACTACTCTGATCGGCCCTAGCAGCCAGCTGTTACCTTCTGGCTGGGTCATCCTGCCATATGTAGCATGTCGACTCTGAAATCCATGTTGTGAGGACACCTTAAACAATGCCTAAATTACATACAGATTTCAGTTTTATTTATCAGAATAAATCAAATTAAATTTACGATTGTTTTCAGAAAGTAAACCATGTCGGGGAAATTGTACCTTAAAGATAAACTGGTTGATGAGGAGCTGGGTAAGAAGTATTTTTTAATTTATTCTCAACCAATTAAATTATTTTTTTTTGCGATAATTTTGATTCTAAATTTCTCTTATACCACATTAATGTAGGATGAAGTTGCGTTGTAAAATTATCAATAATTTTCAGTTTTCACTTATTGATTTCACTTAGATATTGACTTATAACTTATAATATAATAGATAAAAACAACTATTAATAATTTAACCTATTTAAGATTTGTCCATGATGCAACTTACCGAAATACCGGTTAAGGTAAAATTATCACATGAAATTACATTGAGAAATAAAAGATTAATTTAAATTAATGGAATGATTGAATTGACTCGTAATGATAAAAATATTAAAAAAAAATAATATAAAAATAAAAACGTCTCATTGTTGAATTCATCTGATGTGTTAATTTTAGGAGATAGAACAGCTTGGTTCTAAAGTTCTCAAGGTGATTTAACTTTTTATGTTTAGCGAAGTTTACCCTTGCTAAACATTATACAAGCGGTAATACTTAGGTTTTAGCGAAATTATTTATATTCTTCTTCTGTCCTAAAAATATCATATTTTGTTTGGGCATGTAACAAGAAAGATTTTGAATTTGTGCAGACCGCGGATAAGATAAATCGTTGCGCAATTATTGCGTTGCGTTGCCAATGAAAACCATATTTCGAGGTCTAAAGAATTAAAAAAGGATGAAAGTAATCTCTAGGAAACCGTTTCAAAATTGAATTTGTTAATTTTTTCGAACATTTTTTTTATCTTTTATTATTGTATTATTTATGATAGTTGAACCTGTCCCACAACCTGTTGACGTGTGTACCAGCAAACCTGCCACTACTAACACAACTGACAAGTATAGACCTCAGCAAAAACCAGATTGTGAGTAAATTGTGACACAAATATTCACAACAAAGCACCGTTTCCGGAATTTCCGTGTCTCTAATTTTTTGTATTTATTTTTTTTTCTGTATAAATTGGGGAAATATTTCAATGTAATGTAACAAAAATTAAACGATAATTGAAACATTTTTAGACATTTTTTGTGTTGGAAGTTCACGTGAAAATATGTTAACAGTCTCATTTGGTTAGTCTTAGGATTAAAATACTGTATTTAGTAATATTTCCATTTTGTATCTCACTGAAATTGTGAAATTAACTCCTCTCTTCTGCATTTTCAGTTACAAATTCATGTTTTTTTTCTTCAATGAAACTCATTTTAAAGGGACTGTCTGCGTTATTTCAAGCGACCTTCCATTTAAAGAGGAGAATCCCCTATTCACAACGGTACCCTTTAAACCTTTGTCTGGTGAAGGATGTCTGATATATTTTATGTATATCAATCTACTGACTGAAACGCCCTAATTTGCTAAACTGCAAGCACTTAAATATTTAAGAAATGGCAATAGTCACGGTGTAAAAGGGACAGAAAATAAAAGTTTAATTAAGAATGTTTGAAAACCACTTTGAACGGCACTTTAAGTTTCGTTAGTAACAGATCAGTTGCGTTGAGTTTACAGGGTTTCAGGCCGTGTGTTAGAGGAATTCAAGCGGGTTCCAACATGTTGAAGCAAAGCGGCCTTGCGCACTGCACATTCAAAGGTTTAAGTGTACCGTTGTAAATCGGTCATTCCCCTCTTTACATGTAGGGTCACTTGAAGTTAGGCTTACAGTACCTTTAACGAATAACATAATGGAAGGAAAAGAACATTAAGAGGAATAAATAAAATCACCTTCATAAAGTTTTATTAATCTTATATTTAGCTTTATGTAGCTGTTTTATATAATTTTATGTATTACAGGTTGAGTTACCGGAGAATTTTGGTCAGTTGACCAAGTTGAAATCTCTAGATCTGTATTCAAACCAAATATCTAAACTACCCGTCAGGTCAGTTTGGATCAGTTAAATCCTGCTAGGCCTCCTAATGAAAAATCATTTTCCCCTCCGGTCCCTCTTCATTTTATTCCCCCAGAAATTCGGTTTTTTTTGTGTGTGTGTGTGGGGGTGGGGTTTGGTTTCTTCGCTTATTGGAGGGGGGGGGGGATGATTTTTAGTGGGAAATAAATGTATTTTGGGGGAACGTATCGCAAAGGATGAAAAAGCTCACCAACCTTGATGTCCAATTCTTTATATTATCCCCAAAATTCTTCAAAAATCATTTCTGTGTAATTCTAAAAATCAAACACCCCTGCTCCAAAGTCCTTGTAATACATCTTACATTATATGTTTTGCTTTGGAAGCCAGGGAGGGGGAGGGCGTGGGGGGTCTTGATGGTAAACCTTCCGTATATTAGCATATATATATTACAAACACTATTAACTCTGTTCTTTAATTGAAAGGATATGACCTAAAACGACATGCACCATACAAATCTCTAGATGACATGTCGACAAACCTTATTTATCAAACAATTTGAACATACCGAACAATTTAACATTTGCACATTTTATATGAACAGCTTGATCTAATCTTCTGTATTTGCATAAATATGACTGGATTACAAAACATTTTTGCATTCTTTTTTGTAAAAGTCCAAAACTGATTATGACGCTAATGTTTTTTTTTAGTTTTGCACAGCTGAAGAGTCTCAAGTTTTTGGATCTAAAGGTAGGCCAGGCTGAATTTTTTTTTGAGATATTTGATATCGATAGCTCAGGAGTATTATTTACATTATCTCAGAGAGGTACTTTTGCATATTTTATGTTTTAATTCATATTATATTTTACTAAATTCTTCAGTTTGAATTTGTTGAATTATAATATTTACAGTTCTTAGGATCCATTTCATTTTGATGCGGATCCTGGATCCGCCCTGAAGAAGAATCAAGAAGAATCTTCAAATTATTTTTCGCCTAATTTCATTCTAAAACACATTAAACTATTCTCTCTTCGGACTGATGGGTGACTGTTTTATTTATTTATCTTTTCAGAGATGAGGAAATTTTTAATAAATCTCAATTTTTTATCAATTCAGATTTTGGGGTTTGAGAGCAAACATTTTTTTCTTACATTTATTGGTTGATATTTTGCCTCTTGGATCCGAATAATTATGCGGATCCAATAAGCCAAAATGTTGCAGATCCAACGTATTTGGACCCCAAGCACTTATTATTTATATCTAGGAAAACCCTCTAGTCCCTGAACTAGCCAAGGCAGCTGGACCTTGTATAACTGCTAATGATTGTGCAAAAGGATTTTTTTAAATTAAGCTAATCTGAAAAGTTGGAATGAGATACAAATGATACGTTTCAAATGAAAAGAGGGTCTTTTAAATCTATAAAAAAAGATCCATTCTGACATAAAATATTATTTTGAATTTGTGTAGAAAGTAGTGGCCAGGCTTCAAAGTATTGAGTCCCAGCTTTTCCAGTGAGTATCAGTTTACCATTTACTTAGTCGGTTCATATGTAGGGATGGGAAGTTTTGACTTTGAAAAACGTTTGTTTCGTTTCTTTAACGATGATGAATAAATCTGAAAACGAAAGTATTGTTTTGAATACGATTGTTTTTAAGAAGAAAAGACGAAAATTGATTCCGTCGACTCCTGAAACTTCTAAAGTTTAAAATATTTTTTGATCTTTTTCAAAACTGTCGATTTTACTCCAAAAGAATAGTTTTCAAAACTATTTTTTTCTCGACTAGATTGTCAAGTAAAATAGATGGCAACGTAAAATTTGTACATTTGTCAGTACAGCTGTATTCTTACGTCACAAGTGTCAACTTTGTTTCTGTGTCCGAGAAAAATAATAATACTAGTAATAATTCACAGCCAACTAACCAGGAGGCGAAGGTCAAATTCAATTGACATTGCTGTTACGACTTTGTGACTCCGTAGTTCCTCTGGTTCGGATTTTAAGCACACGTGTAAGGAAAGCAAATTTATTTGATTACATATCATGAATTCAAAACATTTTTGTCCTTCTAAATAACTCTTCAATAAGAGGAGTTAATAAGAGGAGTTATGATGGAAAACATATAAGATTTTAATCTTAAGTGCATTTTACTTTAGTTTCACGTGAATTGCCAAAAAAGTTCTTATCTTACAGTAATATAAGTGCAATTTCATGTGTTCTTTATTATTGTTTTTACACTTTTTTATTTAATCTTGGAAAACATGTTAACTAATGTAAGAAAAATTCGTTTTCCTTGTTATATTAGACACTTGTGACGTCGTGTATAATTGATCCATTTCCCTGTTGCCACCTATTGTACTTGATAATCTATTTGGTTTTTCCATTTTTTTAAAACGAGTAGTTTTTCAAAACGATCGTTTCGAAAATTAGTTATATTTAACAATCGTTTTCAATAGCTTAAAACTAACACTTCGTTCGTTTTAACAATTTGTTTTTTTTCCAAAAACTAATGTTAATTAGTTTTGTTTTTGCTTATCATGAACTATATTCTTTCTGACTTGGCGACCGTAAAGTCTAGATAAATGCGTAGAATTTTGGAAATCATCATTTTGGAAATATTTTATACAGAAAATGTCAAAGCCCCTTTGAAATACTCATATAGAAGAAGATTGACGCTTTATCTTGGTTCACTTCAAAGGCTGAACATCCTGGCCTGGTAAAATAGGCTAGCGACGTCATTTCACGTGACCCGCCAGCTATAGAACATCTTAACAGTTATTGTATTTAATTGCGGTTTCTCTAAATACTTGTAGATTTTTGCTTCAGTGCATTAATAAGAATTGTCAGAATTGAACATGTTTATGATGGAAAAATGACAAAGTTTTTATTTCACTCTAAAAGGTTTGTGAATGGAGGCCGGAGGGTCACTTGAAAATTTAAATTGTTTTTGGACTTCCTTTAAATATTTTTACGAATTATTAATTGTTGTATTTAAGAGAGAAGAAGCAGCGGCTAGAACATGAGGCGAAGATAAGGATGAAAAAGGAGAAGAAGGAAGAGATGGAACGGGAGAGAATCCGTCAGGTTAGAGAATCTTCGGTTGCGTATTTATACCATCGTCGGTTTTAAGCTTTTCAAAATTGATCCTTTTTTGTCTCTCTTGTCTTATTACAATGGACAAAATACTTTAATACATTCATAAAAAGGTTATTTAGCTTAATGGATCTTTTTTTCATTTATTCATTAGGCATGTATTGCTTGGTTGGCTGGTATTTGTTTGGTTGGTACTTGGTGTGGTTAATTGATTGGTTGGTAAATTGATTGATTGATTGATTGAACAGGAGAAGAAGATGTTAAAGGAGAAAAGGAGAGAAGAGGCTAAATTAAAGGAGATGGAACAAAAGGATTCGGTAAATAAACTGATAACATATTAAAAGCAGTTTTTCACTTCATATAAAGTTCATTTGACCAAAATTCTCAGGTTTTTAAGCAGAGTAAAAATTCATTTATTGATCTTAGGACGAACCTTTTATTTATTACTGTTGCTCCACATTTTCACTTGGTATTTCTGACTATCTAATTTTTTCGTGAACCTATCAGAACTATCTTAGTGTTTCTGAATTTTATTTATGAAAGACACATCGAAATAATTCTAGATGTTTATTTGATTTTCTATTCTTTAATGTTTAATGTTTCAGTACGCGGAGTATATGGTGAGGGGGGATCAGAACGGTGGTTCACCGTCTAAGCATCATCATCAGGTACACTGCTCGTATAGACCCTGAGGGTTTAGGCTTTTAGGAATATTTTCCACCTTATACGTTTTTCTGTCATAGGAACGCTGTTTTACCGAATCTCGGAAGTTTTTAACAACTTTTTAAAATCCTCAAATTCCCCTTGTTATGTTCCTAGTTCATGTGCCCAAAAAAATATTATAATTATCCACCATAAATCAGATACAAGTTTTCTTTTCTCATTTTCAAGTAGATTTTTATTTATTTATTTTCTATTACATTATATTTTATTAAATAGTAAAATAAGATTATAGAAATAAGTATTAAAATAGGGTGTAAAATTAGTCTATATATACTTTCCTTGGGTGTCTTGGTGTTGGTTTGTTTGTAACTAATAAACGCCGAAACGGCTGAACCAGTCAGGACCAAATTTTGTGTGGGACATCAGTGAACCCAACGTGTACAAAAAGAAAATGTTCACAAATGAAATAGAAGATGGGTGCAAAGCACCCTTAAGCCTAGTTCTTCAAAAAAGAATAACACTAACTATTACATTGTATTTAATTCGCTATTAAAGTAAAATTGATGATTTTTTTCAGAATGGTCACGCACAGGATACTGAGGAACCAGAATGCTCGGGTAAATATACTTTTTAAAAAGTTTTTTTACTTTTTTAGTTCAGCATACAACTCAACAAATAACCGTCAATTTATTCATTTATTTTTCTGTTCCTAAATATCACTATAAAGACGTTGAGTTCCACTTACCCAAAACCTTCATGCTTAAAGGGACTGTTGGCGTAATTTAAAGTGACTTTACGCCAGGGTTCCCCCCAGGTTTTTTTGTGGCAGGTCAGGTAAAAAGAAAATGTGGCAGATTTTCAAAAAGTGGCAGAAATTTAACCCCCCTTCAAAAATAATGAATTATTGGTTGTGAGTGGGGGGGGGGGGGGTGAAATGTTTTTTGTCAATCAATCCAAATCACTCAATTTTGAAACATATTGACATTAAGCCAAAAGATTTTGGTGTGAAGAGCCTTTTCTAATTCTAATAATTAAAATAAGGGGAGAGGGGGGGGGGGTGTATAATTTTTAAGAGTGCAGTGGTGCACGTATAAGAGGCGTGCCGCAGTGCAAATTTTTTTTAACCGAAACCTCAGAAGATGTTAAAAGATTTATGAATTCAGGCTAAAAAAGCTGATCTTTACTTTTCACACAATATTTTTAGATAGATATTTGTCTGTTTTAAAACATGGCTTCGTTCTATTACAAGCTATTGAGAACATATTTTGTATTTGCATGATATAAAAAGTTGCCTTTTTTCTCAGATAATATCCCCTCCCCCCTTATGAAGATATGCATTTAGGTGATCTTTTTGTGGTCTAGTTTATGAGATGTGATTGCAATTGTGGCAAATTTTATTTGTGGCATTTCCATATGTTTCCATTTGGATACTTTTTGTGGCATAATTTCTGAGTTTAGTTCAATCGGATATTAATCCAATCGATATAGCATCACATCTGGATTTGTAATCAAACTTATCTTTATTACATGTTACGTAATAAGGAAATGTTATATCCAACATGACCGGATTCAAAAGAAATTTACAAGTTTCCAAATTGGATATTCAGACTAAGCGATCAGGATTAAGGGTATCCAATTCTAAAGTTTTCAGCTCTGTTAACATAATTTTGTATCAGATTTTAAACTCAATTATAATTTGTGTGGCAGATTTCATGCATTAAGATTATGTTTGTGGCAGATTTTCCAATATTCTATTGCATATGTGGCAGATTTTATGTGCAAAGACATTATTTGTGGCAGATTTTTTCATAAAACATGAAGAATGTTACCAACTGAATATCTCGATTGGCACGTTTGGCTAAAATTGGCATTTTCCTGTTAGACTTTTTTCCGAAATCGGCTAATTTATTCATTTATTGGGGAAATTATTCTCCAAAATTGGTATGTTTCTGCTTAAAATTTGCAGTAGTTTTCCAAATCTTATCCAAGTTTGCTCTGAGAGGAACCCTGATTTAGACAAAGATAACAATGCCCTATCCACAACGGTACCCTTGAGACTTATATCTAATTAATTAGTCGTTTTTAATTTTGATCAATTCTATTTGTTTTCAAGTTTTCAAATTCGCATGTATCTTTTATAGAGAACATTGATATCTAATTAATACTTGATCAGATAAAGCTTTTAAGGTTACCGTTTTGAATCGGGCATTGCCATCTTTGCATGGAGGGTCACTTAGAGTTACGCTTACAGTCCCTTTAACAATTTACGCTTTCTATTTATTTACGGACCATGGTAGCCTGTTTGAATAAAAAACATTTACAATGAGAACCAGAAAACTGAACTAGTAAGACGATATTATAGCAATAATTAAGTGTATTTGATGTTGTTACAAAGAAAATAGTTTTACTTGCGAAATGGTCTGTTTACCATACATAATTACATTGTCTCGTGTTCATTGGACTATTTTAAGTTATAACTTGAGTATTCATGTCGTCTTCCTATTCCAGAGTTTTCTGGTACTCAATGCAATTTCTGTATTTCTGTATTTCTGTATTACAGGGTTCTCCTGTATTGGTCTGCTGGTCCGACTGATACTCTACTGTATGGTTGGATGTGTTGCTCTGGGCATTTCTCTTCTCTGGTTTGTCTTTACCTTTTGCTGACTTTAATTTTGTTACCTTATTAAACCTTAAAATTAAAAATACTTATATTATTTCAGGTTTTTATTATTACGGTTAGTTTTACCCGAGTTCCTTTTTCGTTCCACGATGTTCGGTACTTTCCCAAATGATTTTTCCCATGTGGCAACTTCCCAACGTTATTTTCCCAAGTGGAAACTTCCCAACGGTATTTTCCCAAGTGGAAACTTTCCAACGGTATTCTCCCAAGTGGAAACTTCCCAACGATATTTTCCCAAGTGGAAATTGTCCAACTGTGCAATTTCCCGAACGGCAACTTCCCAAGTCTGTCCTAGCCGCAGCGCTCGGCCTCCTAGTCAGTTCTAGCCGAGAACTCTGCCCCCAAACTCATCCTAGTCGCAGTGCTTCTCCCCCCCCCATTGCAGACTGCGGTGCCTCAGAAAGCCTAACCTAGCCTTGGGAAGTTGCAGCTTGCGAAATTGAAACTTTGGAAATTGTCAATTGGGAAGTCGCCCATGAAAAAATATCTTTGTGAAAATGCTTTCACCAAATTTGAAGTTTGCCATTTTATTAGGCGGTGTGATACTTTTAATTCTATATTTCTCTTTTAAGGTTGTATACAGACGGCAAAATGGATTCGGATTCTATACAAGCAGCTGTTCCGGTTATCCAGGTAGATGATTAGCTCTACACAGGTAGATAATCAGATCCATCCAGGTAGATAATCAGCCACATCCAGGTAGATAATCAGCTACATCCAGGTAGATAATCAGCTCCATTCTGGTAGATAATCAGCTCCATCCAGGTAGATAATCAACTACATCTAGGTAGATTATAAGCTACATCCAGGTAGATAATCAGCTACATCCAGGCCAGGTAGATAATCAGCTACATCCAGTTAGATAATCAGCCCCGTACAGGTAGATAATCAGCTCCATCCAGGTAGATAATCAGCTACATTCTATATTTCCTGAAAATCATTTTCACATTTAAATACAGGGTGTCCCACATCATATTAGACCATCAACGGGTCTAAATTGCGATTTTCGGGACTAATAAGAAAATTTAATTAGATTGAATCAATTTGAAAAATAACATAAGGCTTATATAAGAATTTTCTTGCGGAAAATGATAAGTTTTTCGAGTATTAAAGGTTTATTTTGTCGTTGAAGATTAGAGATAATCTAATATGATATGGGACGCTCTGTAGATTAATAGCTTAAAAAACCATGTCAATTAAGAATTGAAAAATCAGTAATATTTAAAGTTTGCGCTTTTAATTCGATGTAATGAATCCTGCAGGGTGGCCAAAATGTACGGATTGTACGGATTGATTTTTTTTTAACCCTAAAATTGTACGGATTGTACGGATTTGTTTTCAAATTGTACGGATTGTACGGATTTTTATCCTTGAAAATACACCGTTTTTTTAAATTTTCACTCATTTATATCCTGTATCATGTACCCTGTATCATGTATCCAGTATCCAGTATCATGCACCTAGTATCATGTACCCAGTATTTAGTTTGTATATATGTATGAAGCCAATTTTTTACAGATTGATTCTTGCTGAAGAAGTTTAAACCCTCTTACATGAACTGAACACAAAAGACAATAAATGAAAAATTGAATTTTAATGTTTTTTTCTTCAAAAATGGGATTTTTTTTCGAAAATTGTACTGATTTTACAGATTTTTTTAAAAAATGAACGGATTTTTAAAAAAATGTACGTATTGGTTTAAAAAAATGTACGGATTGTACGGATTTTTTTTAAAAAATTGTACGGATTGTACGGATTGTTTTTCGAAAATTGTACGGATTGTACGGATTTCTTCTGAAAATGTACGGATTTTTGTACGGATGTGTTCAAAAAAGTTTTGGCCACCCTGATCCTATGCAGATAAACTGGACTTTATTATTTATTATGTAGAAGGATGACTAATAAACTAAACTTATTCTAAAATTAATTATTATCTAGAAGGATGTAGAGTAAACTAAACTTATTCTAAAATTAATTATTATGTAGAAGGATGTGGAATAAACTAAACTTATTCTGAAATTAATTATTATGTAGAAGGATGTAGAATAAACTAAACTTATTCTAAAATCAATTATTACAAAGAAAGATGCAGAATAAACTAAACTTATTCTAAAATTAATTATTATGTTGAAGGATGTAGAATAAACTAAACTTATTCTAACATTAATTATTATGTAGAAGGAAGTAGAATAAACTAAACTTATTCTAAAAGTAATTATTATGTAGAAGGATGTAGAATAAACTAAACTTATTCTAAAATTAATTATTATGCAAAAGGATGTAGAATAAACTAAACTTATTCTAAAATTAATTATGTAGAAGGATGTAGAATAAACTAAACTTATTTTAAAATCAATTATTATAAAGAAAGATGCAGAATAAACTAAACTTATTCTAAAATCACTTATTATGTAGAAGGATGTAGAATAAACTAAACTTATTCTAAAATTAATTATTATGTAGAAGGGTGTAGAATAAACTAAACTTATTCTAAAATTAACCCCCTCCTCCGTATTGTTAACTTTGATTGGTTTCCACGAATTATTTCTTAATATGTAACACTACAGTGTACAATGTACAATGTTCCTTTATGATATGCATACTTTTTACTGAACATGGTTTCGCTGATGAACTGTAAACAATAATATGTTTTTAAGCGAATCTGCTGTTAAATTTCGCAACCGTCTAGGAAATCTGAAGACAAATGAAAAATATTGTTTTTAGTTTTAGTTTTCCTTTAGTTTGTTCAATTTAAGATATCAGTGTTTTTCTGAAAGGGACTGCAGAGTGCAGACCTAATTTCAGTGAATGACGCTGCAGTTAAAGAGTAGAATGTCCGGTGTCCGATCAACAACAGAATTATTAAAACTTTTCTTGAATTAGCAATGGGAAAGAAGTTTTTCTACCTGTAAACGTGTCGAATTCTCACAATTCTCTCGGCAGCACCCCTTCGTCACTTTTTTGAAAATTGCATAGTTGAAGGTATTCAATTTTCGTGGAGAAAAACAAGGAAGTTTATTTCATCCTTGATCAGAAAAAAATACTGAATTACCACTTAGTCCTTTTAAAAAAAGAGTTAGTTTTTTTTGGCCCCATTAAAATGTTTTTTTTTGCAGTACAGTAGAGAAGATTGGTGTACTGTATGATTTTGTGAAAACGAACACATTGCAGGTAGATAAAAAAGAGGTTTTGGTAATGCTAGATGATATTTAGGCAAATGTATTGTTTATATAATTAGTTGATGATTATAAAGGAATATGATTGGTTTATAAATACATCCAGGAATATGATTGATTAATGAATATAACCAGGAATATGATTGATTAATGAATATAACCAGGAATATTATTGGTTGATGAATATAACCAGGAATATGATTGATTAATGAATATAACCAGGAATATTATTGGTTGATACATATATCTAGGAATATTATTGATTAATGATAACCAGGAATATTATTGGTTAATGAATATTACCAGGAATATTATTGGTTGATGAATATAACCAGGAATATGATTGGTTAATGAATATATTCAGGAATATTATTGTTTGATACATATGATATTTTAGGGATATGATTGGTTGAATGTCAACTATGGAGATACTGTGAAGTCACTATTAGAAAAGGCGAAAGATCTACTTAAATTGGTTTGGTAAGTGATCTCTTAGCTACAACTACAATTATACAACAAAAAAATTCTAACCCACCAATCGCAGAAATTTTAAGTTTCTTGCACTCATGTTCACTCCAATTGTTTTGATAAACAAATACTTAAAAGTTTAGTAAACCTGAACATTTAATATATAACTGAAAATTAACCTGAAATTTCCTTGAAAATGTTTGAATTTGTTTGCATAACTTAAATCAATTTTGTTTTCATCTCTGCAGGTCCAAGTCTGAAGAGGCGGGAAGAAATCTAATACCGATACTAGACAGGACCTTATCACATTTTTTTCATTACATTTTTTAGAAACTTTTGTCGTTGAAGTTTCACTTAAACGCTGAGATTGAAAAGGGTTTTCTGAAACTAATCAAACTCAAAGAAATGTTTTCATTTTTAAAAAATAGAAATTAGAAAAAAAAATAGTTTCCATTTCTATTCTAGTGATGTTGTTTAATCAAAGTGAAAACCATATTTATTTATTGATTGTCTGTGGACCTGTTCAGTTGTTTGTTAATCGAATTAATCAGAAATATTGATCTTAAGTCCTTCAACTTGATATTTTAACAAATATTGATAAAAATGTGATTATGCAGACTGTGGGCCCAAGCTCGTCCTCATTTTCAATATCTTGGAAAACTTGTCATAGACAGGAAATCATTTATATCATACTTCATTACTTAAACAGGTCGTTTTATAAAACCTAGACCATGAAGAAAAATATGCGGAGTATTGCTAAGGAATAATAGAATAATGTATTTTTTACTTTTTTAAAGTTCTTAAAAGTGATTCAATTAAAAATTGCGTTGAAGATAGCCCCGCCATTGAAATGATATAAACTGATGTTTTCATTGAACAGAACTTCTGAATTTTGGATCTTTCTTCATCAACAGTTTCCAGGTAAATTGTCGATTAAAGGGGCTGTAATGGAAAAATGAAAGGGGGTATAGGCTGAAAGCTAATCACTTTAGCTCTCGATCGCGACCCATGAAAGTTATATCTGATGGAACATAATTGAGTTAAAACTTTGTCAAATTTATACGAAAATTAATATAAATACAATTTTGTATAAAAGTAGTGGGTTTAAAAAGATCATATTCAGCGAAAATGCAACCAATCTGAAAACGATGATATCCCAGAGAAAGCTAATTGTAACTTAGATTTACTCCAATTCTAATTTTATATTTATTATTTCTATTTTGTATAGATTTAATTCATAATATTATTTATACGTCAGTATTGCTTGACCAAAAATTCCACCAATGGCAGTGCAGTAAAGTGGTCACGTGATACAGGCGGAGACACGTGACCAGTATACTGCTCTGCCATTGGTGATAGTTCTGGTCACGTGATTTAAGTTTAAGATTTTTTAAATTTTACATATATAAACTTTCGTATAATTTTAAGACCATTTTATATCAATTTCTCGAGACAGGAACATCAGATAAAACTTTCATGGGTCGATCAAGAGCTAAATTGATTAACTTTCAGCCTATACCCCCTTTCATTTTTCCTTTACAGTCCCTTTAAGTCGGATTCAATAGATGGTATTTCAACTAGTTAGACCTAGTTCGACTTCTCTTGCTCTGTAGGGCCTAGATGTTAGAGTGATTCTTCAAAACATCGATCAATTAAAAGCATACGCATTAATGAACAGCTTGCATAAATAATACTGTGGCCGAATTTACAGAATTTGAGCGGCGGCGGTTTAAATTTAAGCCGCGGCTTAAATATGGTTGGTTCCACTTTAAATTGTATCAAATGTTTCAAGATTTAAGACGGCGCTTAGTTTAAACCGGGTTTTGGCGGATTTACGCCGCGGCTCAAATTCTTTAAATTTGGCCTCTGGCTTGGTATTTTTACAAATGTCTTTTGATTAAGTATTAAGTAACCACGTGGTTTTTAATATGTTTCATCCCAAAATATTGTTGTGATGAGAAATGATTGGATTGAAAGTGTCACTAATTTTGAATTTTTCTTCTGAAAATAAAGTTTCCTAAATCAACAAAATATTTGAGTGCGTGGCAATTTTATCCTAATAAACAAATTTCTTTTATAGGTAAAATATTTGAAAGTAGAGTGTTTTAAAAGGGAGGGAGAGGGGTGATATTGTCAAGAAATTATCCTTGATTTCATTATTGCTAAAACATGAGAAGAGTTTCTTTAAAAAATAATACTTTTTAGTTTACTTTGTTTTTCTGTTAAGTTTACATTGACTGGTTGACGGAAACTGCTGGCTCTCTTCTGGAATCTATTCAGATCACATTTCAGAAAATTATTCAGGTAATTCTAGGTCTGAGACCGGATTTAGTTAATTTTGAGCTAGCTAGGTTTAGAGATGGTTCAACCACGTATCTTGAATCCGTGATTCAGGATTTCTCCATGTCCAATATATGTTAACTCCACGAAGTTTTGTAGTTCAGCAACCTAACTTAAATACTTTAATTTCGGGACCTGAGCTGAAAACTTTAGAATGGGATATCCTTAATCCCGATCGGTTAATTAATCTGTAGATTAATAACAAGAGGAGAACAAGCATTATTTAATCTGGAGATTAAGAAAAAGAGTGGATCTAGCATTAATCCCAATATCCACCATTCAAAAGTTCCCAGCTCTGCTCTGTTATTCTTAGAATATTCAGATTTAGATTTAAGATCTTAATCTTAACGGTGAATTTATATCGACAATTACGGCTCATAAATAGATTTAAATCTTTAAAATGAACACTTAAACCAACTTTTTAGTAAAATTTTCCAGGATTGAAAAAAATATCATAATTAGACTTTTAGTTGAAAATAACTTCTAATATGAACAAATTATAGTTTGATTTTATTAATAATCGTTCAATTTTAAATTACTTTCCCGAATTAGTTAAATTTAAAGAACTAGCCAAAAAGTGCCCGGTGTTAAAAAAAAATTCCAATACGCAGAAAATGTCGTCTTGCTTCGAAACGATTAGTTTGTGGGCTATGACACCTATTCTAGGAGGGCAAACGCAACAGTTTTATTTTCACAAACACACACATTTAGTCTCAAGAAATGCATTATTAATTCTGTGGTTCTGATTAAGAGATGTAATAAACAAGAAAAATTAGCTTTTTCTGATATCGCAAATCATTAGTAACTATGCAGAACTCGAATCATATTTTGTTTTAGTTTTTTGATAAGAATAGCTGTTAAGTCCGATTTCAACAAATAAAATAGCTTTTTAGTTTTTAGTGCATAGAAATAGTATTTTTTTTAACAGAAACAAACTAGACCCGCGGCTCTTCGTTCAAACCAGAAGGATTAAAGGATAATGTTTTTACAGTTTATCATTAAATGTAAAGTAGTATATCCAAAGTTTAACGTTCAAAGTATCTTTAACACGAAATGTTGTCTCAATGTCCACTGTATGATGTACAATGGACATTCTCAATCGATTGTCAATGTCCACTGTATAATATCGATTGACAATCGATCTATATATATATATTTGTATTAATTTAAATATTTATATATTTCAGGGGATATCCTAGATCTACGAGACCTAATAGAACCCCAATATTGATGTTGTCTTGCCGACTATGGAAAACCAATGCCGTGTGGAAACAAGCAGAAATTTTCAATCTTTGTAAATTAATGTTAGTTAAATTATGGAAACCAGTATGTTCTCGTGTAACCTCCTAACCTCCCCCTACCCTCATGCATGTTCTGTGATTACTGCATTCTATTTGTTATTATTTTTATTTTTATGTTTTAAAAATTGATTTTATTTGGAATTAATTGAGACTTAAGATTTTAAGCATTTAAATTTTAAGATTTTGTAATAAAAAAGTCATTTATTACCTGGTGTTTTTTTACAACGTGGTTATTATTTTCAGATTAAATATGGTTGCAGAGACAAGTCAAGTCAACGTATTACGCAGCATTGACGCGGCGTGCAAATACGCAAATGTCAAAAACAAAAAGATTTGTGTTCAAGATCTCAAGGTGAAAATGGCTTTTATTTATTGTGCGCTGCTTATTTTTATATCTTTTGACTAAAAACGGAACATTGTACAGTATGGCCATGTTAAGCAGAAAACGGAACATATGTCTGTCTCGCCTAATGTTCCTATAAAAATGTTCTGGACGTTCAGTTGCAAATTACGAAACTTAAAGTTTCACATAATAATTAAAAAGAAAAGAGATTTCGAGAATTCCACTGTTTTCTAACCCGCACTGAGTTCTTCAGAACATCTGCAATTAAAAATCAAGATCAAAATTGAAAAATATCTGTCCGTTATTGTGATCTCTCAAACGATCGAAACAATTTTCTGTTGTTTTGATTGCTCTAATCTTACATTTAAAACTATTTAAAGGAATTAATCGCCGTCTAATTGTGAATCTATGTTTAATTTTGCCATCTAAAGAGATTAAAAATATTTAATTTATGACCTACATATTTAGGCTGAATGCATCTTCTATATAATAAAGCTATTCGTTCATATATATATATATAGTTATAGTATTTATTATCAAACACAAAATACGAAATAATATTGTATGATGGTTCAGCTTAAAATAAAGCACAAAGGAAACTTTATTATGAGCCAATTCAAAATATAATGTTTGATAATTTTGCTTGATCGTTTTTGTTGAAACAAAGTATACATATTGAAATCTCAATTGAATATACATTCATTGTGCATTTACAAGTAGATAATTAGTGAGCGCTTAAATAATCAAAACATTTTCAGGAATGCATTCATTGAACTTATAAATACATATTGATTCAGCAAAAGTAGAAATGTATTCTCGTTGACTGTAGTAGACTTGACAAGTTGACATCTTGACTTGGGTACCCTTCGATTTCTTCCCCCCCCCCCAATTATTTTTTTTTAATTAGAATTTTAATTGAATCAATAGCTGAAGTAAATTGAAGTCGTTTGCGGGAATGAATATATATTGTTTAAGGGAGGTGTTTACCCAGCATTAGGAGGCCTCTTCTCTACCACAGGGTTATTAGGAGGAACTGTACTGGAGAAAGCTTTAGTTAGACAATGGGTCCATTTTCAGGTAGATATTCTTACTTATCATAAGTTAGACATGGGTCCATTTTCAGGTAGATATTCTTATTTATAATCAGATAAGCAATGGTCCATTTTCAGGTAGGTATTTCCCCATTTTTAGTCAGATATTCTTATTTATAATTAGTTAGACAATTGGTCCATTTTTAGGTAGATATTCTTATTTATAATTAGTGATACAATTGGTCCATTTTCAGGTAGTTATTCTTATTTATAATTAGTTTTACAATTGCTCCATTTTCAGGTAGTTATTCTTATTTATAATTAGTTATACAATTGGTCCATTTTTCAGGTAGATATTCTTATTTATAATTAGTTATACAATTGGTGCATTTTCTGGTAGATATTCTTATTTATAATTAGTTATACAATTGGTCCATTTTCAGGTAGATATTCTTATTTATAATTACTTATACAATTGGTGCATTTTCTGGTAAATATTCTTATTTATAATTAGTTAGACAATTGGTGCATTTTCTGGTAGATATTCTTATTTATAATTAGTTATACAATTGGTGCATTTTCTGGTAGATATTCTTATTTATAATTAGTTAGACAATTGGTGCATTTTCTGGTAGATATTCTTATTTATAATTAGTTATACAATTGGTGCATTTTCTGGTAGATATTCTTATTTATAATTAGTTATACAATTGGTGCATTTTCTGGTAGATATTCTTATTTATAATTAGTTAGACAATTGGTCCATTTTCTGGTAGATATTCTTATTTATAATTAGTTATACAATTGGTCCATTTTCAGGTAGATATTCTTATTTATAATTAGTTATACAATTGGTCCATTTTCAAGTAGATATTCTTATTTATAATTATATAAACAATGGTTCCATTTTTAGGTAGATATTCTTATTTATAATTAGTTAGACAATTGGTCCATTTTCAGGTAGATATTCATATTTAAAATTAGTTATACAATTGGTCCATTTTCAGGTAGATATTCTTATTTAAAATTAGTTAGACAATTGGTCCATTTTCAGGAAGATAATTGGTCCATTTTCAGGTAGATATTCTTATTTATAATTATATAAACAATGGTTCCATTTCCAGGTAGATATTCTTATTTATAATTAGTTAGACAATTAGTTCACTTCTTATGCTGCATTTCTTCTAAGTGTGAAAGATTAGAATTTGGTTTTCTGTAAAGATGTAATTTCATGCATTTTGTGAATATTATTACAATTACTAAAGAATGCTTAATTTAACTTTAACTAATTTAAATTTAACTTAATTAAAATATTGTAGGAGTATATGATGGCTGGAGAAAAGACGTCTCCTGCTAATTTGCAGATTTTGAACCAAGGACTAGCGGACAGAACATTCCTAGGAATTCATTGATTAAAAAGTTTCAAATTTATTGAAAATGATGTTTTATTCTTCACCATTGCAGGGGGGGGGGNGGGGGGGGGGGCGTTGCGTCCTTCTTCTTAACATATCATTATCATAAGTTCGTTATTTCATCTAAAAAATATCAAATTGCTAATTAATGAATTTTTACCTTAGCTGGAGAAAATATTACCTTCGCAGATTTCCTACTGTTTCACAGGTAATCATTATTGTTATTGTTATTTTATTATTTCAATCAGAATTTTAAAAAATTGGAATATTTACAAAATTGAATTTTGTCGTTCTATTTTTTATCGTTTCGGAAAGTTATTCAAGTCAAAGTGTATTTTTTCTTTCTTTCTTTCATTCTTTTTTTTTTTTTGTTACAACCATTTCTTTCTGTTTAAGTCAAAAATCAATTTCTAGGATTTTCCAAATTTTCGATTTTTCAAATTTCACTTTTATTTGTTACTGACGTATGATCTCTTAAAAAAGCCAAAATTTCGGAACGGTGATGATTATTCAAAATTTTAAATTTTTGACCAATAGAAATAAAAACAAAATTAGCATTTAAATAAAAATTACACGTAACTATTGGTATTGGGTAGAAACCCATACATGCCCAGTCGAAAAAATGAATCTTTAAAATTATTTTCATTTTGGAAATTAAAAAAAATTTAACCATTTTTGATGTTTAAGCTGATGTAACACAGTAGTAAAAGGTCTAAAAAGAATTCAAGTCCATATTGGAATAAATAAATACCGAGCTTTTCAATAACACCATAAGGGAACTGTAAGGGGCTCAGTAACATGTCGTCAAGTACACTTTCGTCTAATAACATTTGGTCTAGTAACATTTGGTCTAAGTAACATTTGGTCTAAGTAACATTTGGTCTAAGTAACCGTTGGTCTAAGTAACATTTCGTCTAAGTAACATTTGGTCTAAGTAACATCAAGTAACTCTTGGTATAAGTAATTCTTAGTAAGGAATTTGGTCTAAAACTAAAAACTGGTTGAGAATCTAATTAATTCCGCCATTGAGTTCCTTTTTTGCAGTGTATTTATAAAATCACTTAACATTTTTTTCAGACCAAATTACTTACTTAAAGTTACTTAGACCAAAAGTTACTTTGACCAAAAGTTACTTAGACCAAATGTTACTTAGACCAAAGGTTACTAGACAAAAATGAACTAGACGAAAGTGTACTAGACGGAATGTTACTGACCCCTGTAAGCGTACTTTCAAGTCACCCTCCATGCAAAGATGGCAATGTCTGATTCACAACAGTTTTTTTTGTCACGTCATAGGCTCAGTCAGAAGTTCATTTAGTTAGGCTTGTATGGTTTCTAAAAAAGATAGTAGCTTGTTGAGCTGTGCGTATTATGTAAAGAAAACAATTTTAAGTTTAAATTCAAAAATTGTATAGGTTCCCAATTTTTCTTCTGAAATTGAAATGATGAATCCTATATAATTTGGATTGTGAAGGTATGATCAAGTATGAATTAGACATCAATGTTTATAATTATGAAAACAAAATATTTTCAATTGTGGTTAATCTACAAAAGTAACTTTCTCATTTCTACTGCAGGAAAGCATATAGGATTCATCATAATTAGACAGTTTTAAACCTAGCAAATCGACAATGTCTTCCACATTATTGATCAGATAAAGGCTTCAAGGCTACCGATGAAAAAAGTGCATTTCCATTTTAGCATGTAGGTTCACATGAATTTACGCTCACATTCCCTTTAATTGTAAAAATTGAACGAAAATCTTTCCCTCAGTAACTGATACCCCTCCTGCAATGTTGGGACACCCTGTAGCAATGTATTAATTTTAGTATACAGTTTGTTATAAAGGAATACAGTTTTCAAGAGAAGGAGAATATTGCTCATGTTTCCAGGTTAGCTGAAGACTTACATGACTTTATTATTGGATACCCTCATGAATACCGGTCGCTTAATCTGAATTTCCACTTTTGTTTTCTGCTTAATCCGCTCTTTATGGATATCCTCACTAGATTCCGACCAATAAAAGTTCTCTCTTCGAATGGCCTGCAAAATTAAAAAAATTTGGCTTCTGATTAATTGGATGTTTGGAATTTTGCATACACCACTTTGATTGGTTGATTTTTAGAAATTTTCCGGTATGCAAACAAGATTTAATATAATCCTTAGAAAATTAAGCACAAAAATCAAATTTTTGGTTCGGAAGTATTAAAAAGAAGGAAAAACATGCCAGTACATTTCCAATATTTTACCGCCTTTTTCTACCTGTGGCTTGCGTAAATTTAGGACAAATGAAAAGTTTTGTCAATTGTCGGTGTTCTACCTTGCATAATATTTTTAATTTTAATTGTTCGTTTTTTTAGATGGTTTGGACACGTTCAGACTCTGCTCAATTCAAACCTTACTGTTCTTTTCAGCAGAACAGTTCTTTATTAAACATATTTTTTATTTCAATAAAAAATCAATCTTGAATTCAGTATTTTTTTCATTAGCCATGTAAATGGTAGAATTGAACAAAAACAAGGCAGTAGGATGCCAAAAGTTTACTATCTTAAAAATGATATTTAGTTTTATTGCTAAGTAAAAACTGACAGGAACTATTTTGGAAAAAAAAATATTGGTTCAGAAAAGGAGGCAAGTTGATCCCCAATTTTTATTATGTTCATTTAAAGCAATTCCAAAGTTTTCTTCAAATATTTTTCTAGATCTTTTTCATATAACTGTGTTCTGTAATGGGGATGTTAAATGTCGTCTGATTGTTTCAAATATTTTTGAAAAATTGAAATAGTAAAACTTTATTTAATTATTGAATGGTGGATTACTCGTCAGTTTTATCTTTATTTGTTGCTAGCTGCAGGGCCCGACGATGCCCGTGGAGAAAATTGATTTTTTAGGGTGTCACCCCCAAGCGACCCAAGAGTGACCACAAAAAATTCAGCCCATTCGGTCCAGCCGTTTGGCCGGTTACAGGGTACAAAGCTTTGTAGCACAATTATATAGTCTAAAAAGTATAGTGTAAACAATGTTATTGGTTTTGAGTAGAACATGCAGTTTATTAATCTGTTTTTCTGTAACTTTCTTCTAGTGTCAACTTGCACTAACCAAACTTAAATTATTATCTTTTTTCCGAAAGTCAGATTAATATTACGCTTTATTTCAATAAAATTTAATTCAATAAACAAACAAAGTTAAATTTTTCGGCAAATTTAGAAGGTATTCTATAATCATAATAGTCACATTCAAATAAGGGCGAAATTAACTATTTAGTGATAAGAAATAAGAGCACATTTTGAGCATGAAATGTAAATTTTAGTGGCGATGACACCATTTGGTTAAAGAATCTAAACGCTGGCTCAATGTTGGTGAGAATGGTGACGGTTCACCAAAGTTGGGAACAATGGCCACCAGGTGGAATTCGGTTTGGTTTGGTGGGAACAGGAGTTGCAACTGGAGGAACCGGGGCAACCATCTTGGATTTAACTCCACGTGCTTCCGTGGAGATAGCGAGTCCTTCCATTATTGGACTTGTAACTGAAATCATTAGTAAATTATTATTATTATTACTTAATAACCTGAAAAAATGGCATAAATTACAAATATTGAACAAATAACCATTAATTTCTTGTTTTCTTACAAAAAGCAGAATTTGTCATCTTGTTATTAAATTTTGTAATTTTTGCTGAACAGTCCAGAAAAACTTCCTTAATATTTTCATGGATAAGTTTAGCAATACTAATGAAGTAATAAATCTCTGCAAGTATTACTTTAACATATGAGTATTTTAAGACTTGGGTTTTATCATGAGTGAAATATTTATGCAAGTAACGATAAAATAAGGAAGGTTCAGAGTAAAATTATTGGAATACATCAGATACAAATCGGATACAATGTATTAATAAAATCATTCACAACCAGAATCCAGAAAGAAAAGACAATTATTCCAGTATTTTCTGGTTTCCACTGTCTACCCTTGTAGAAATTTGAATTAATATATTCCCACCTGGCATAGATGATTTCCTGATGTTCCTAGGTTTAAAATCTATTGGTTGCTCATCTCCTAGTACAATACTGCTTCCCAACCTGATAAAGAAAATAGAACATGTGAATAGGATTAACGTGACAATAAATTGAAAGTTTTTTGACCAGGAAAAGGATTAAATTGATCTTTGATGAAAGCAAATTAAAGAAAACATTGTTTTAATTAGAATTTAAAAAACTGGACACTTGCCTCAAATTCTAACTTTCAAATAATGTTATCTTCGGAATCACCATCAAGTGGAAAAAAGCAAATGTGCTCGATTATGAGGCAATTGTTAAGTTCCTTTTTGGAAATCTCTCACTATGAGACTGAATAGTTCGACTTGCAAATGAAATCAATAAGAACTAAATAACTGAAAATATCTATTCCTAAACCTACTCGATAAAATTATTGTTAAAGTTTCATTCTAAATTCTTTCTACCTGTACGGTTTCTTATATGGTTCTGGTTCTCCGGTCTCGGAACTAGTATCACTGGCGGAGTCAGAGCCGAATATATCGGTAGAAGCTCCGCCCGGAGGCTGGATACACCTAGACAACCATAGAGGATTAATTCAGGGCTAATTTAGTGTGTTGGACATCAGGGTTTGAACCTATAGGATAGTCTACTAGGTTGGATATTAAGGTTAGTTACCAGAATAGTTTAGTAGGTTAGATTCCAGGGTTAAAACCTGTGGGATAGTTAAATAAGTTGGATATCAGCATTAGTATAACTATAGGATAGTTTACAAGGTTGGATATCAGTGTTAGAACCTATAGGATAGTTTACAAGGTTGGATATCAGTGTTAGAACCTATAGGATAGTTTACTAGGCTGGATATCAGGGTTAGAACCTATAGGATAGTTCACTATTTTGGAAATCAGGGTTGGTTAGTATACCTATAGGATAGTTTACTAGGTTGGAAATCAGGGTTGGTATATCTATAGGACAGTTTACTAGGTTGGATATCAGGGTTTGTTTACCTGTAGCATAGATTACTAGGTTGGATATCATGGCTAGAACTTATAGGATAGTTTACTAGGTTGGATATCAGGGTTTGTTTACCTGTAGGATAGATTACTAGGTTGGATATCAGGACTAGAACTTGTAGGGCAGTTTACTAGGTTGGATAGCAGAACTAAAACTTATAGGATAGTTTACTAGGTTGGATATCAGTACTAGAACTTATAGGATAGTTGACTAGGTTGGATATCAGGGTTGGTTAGTAAACTTATGGGATAGTTGACTGGGTTGGATATCAGGGTTATTATATTTAAGGGATAGTTCATAGGTTAGATATCAGGGTCATTATACCTATAGGATAGTTTACTAGGTTGGATATCAGGGTTGGTTAGCTCCGCCATATGTGAATCTCCGCCAGGCGGTTGAAGGAAAGGAATCCCCCTAAAACAAAGAAATGAGAAATTGTCTAAATTATTTCCTGAGAAATTGCTGAGTTTCTCCCGTTTTTATCTTTTCTAATTCATGAATCATGCATCGTGAGCTAGCGAGTGTTTGGCGTAACTCCAGTTTTCAAGGATGGGGGTCGAAATTCGTAGATTTAAAAGACATGAAATGCAAGGGCGAATTGCCCGGAGTCGCCCATAATAATTACTCATATATATTGAATGATTTTGGTATAAATGAGTAGGTGGAGTAGGTTGAAGACTACACTAAACTCAAAGCATCTGTTTATAAAACAGTTTTACGTCATGGACTCTAGACGTAGCGGGGATAGGTATAAGTTACCAAAGGAAAACATTCAAATAATTATCATGCAATGACTAAAAAAGGTCAATAATAAATAGAAACTCCATTTATTACGAAATAGATTGAATGGTTCGAAATAAAAATTGTTGAATTTTTAACTGGAACTTTTGTAGTTACTAGTTCTCCCCTCAAAACAAATACAGATACAAGAGCAGCACCACTGTCGGTTTTGCATTTGCATCTTTGGATCGCCCACTTCTAATACTTGAATTAAAATTGATCTCATGAAACAAAAACATAAAGGTGAGAAAGTTTTTATCTATTAAGATAATTGCTGGATATTTTTTTGACAAACAAAAAGTCCAGTTAGCCCCTGAAAAATATACATGGTATCAAAAGTTAGGTAAATAAAGAAAAATTTTGTGTAATGAAAATGTTTTTATTTTATCACTTGATAGGCATGTATTGTGTATTGTGACCTAATAACATAAATGCGGGTACTTTCATAAAAGTGAAGTTAACAATCGACTAATGTTTAGTTCCACAAAAAAAGGTTACCCACAAAGGATGAGACTTCAGAGACGAATGAACGTTCTTTTTTTCGCTTTGGGTTTCATAAATTCATATTTGTTTCTTTGTCAAATTATCAAGTACGTCTAAACCAAGTGCAGACAACAAAAAATGCAAAAAACCAAATTCAACCAGCAAACGCTACAATCTCCTCCTATTTGGGTAACCCTATTTTACAAACAATTTTTTTTGGTAGATTTTAAACAAGAATCATAAAAACTATTTTAAGAATAATTTAATCTTTAATTAGGAATTTCATGAAATTTTCAAAGTATCGTCAAAATAATTTTTAAATACATTGCTATATAATATATGTAATGTATATCTTCTTTATTGTTACTTAAATCTCGCTAACAATCACTTTAATTTTCAATGAGTTTATATTTATCTCTACTATAGTGTTACTTAAATCTCGCTAACAATCACTTAAATGAGTTTATATTTATATCTTCTATAATGTTACTTAGATCTCGCTAGCAATCACTTTAACTTCCAATGATTTTATATGTTTATCTTCTTTATTGTTACTTTAATCTCGCTAGCAATCACTTTAACCTTCAATGAGTTTATATGTTTATCTTCTTTATTGTTACTTTAATCTCGCTAACAATCACTTTAACCTTTAATGAGTTTATATTTATATTATCTATAATGTTACTTAAATCTCGCTAACAATTACTTTAACCTTCAATGAGTTTATATTTATATTATCTATAATGAATCTCGCTAGCAATCACTTTAACCTTTAATGAGTTTATATTTATATTATCTATAATGTTACTTAAATCTCGCTAACAATTACTTTAACCTTCAATGAGTTTATATTTATATTATCTATAATGTTACTTAAATCTCGCTAACAATCACTTTAACCTTCAATGAGTTTATATTTATATTATCTATAATGTTACTCAAATCTCGCTTGCAATCACTTAAACATTTAATGAGTTTATATGTTTATCTTCTTAATTGTTACTTAAATCTCGCTAACAATCACACTTTCAATGATTTTGTATTTCTGAAGTATTAATCAGTAAAATTGTAAACTCACCTTCCATTTGCCTTGTTATGCTCGTCAAGGCCTACAGTTATAATTCCCATTGTCAAATATTATTTCTGAAAATTCATTAGTTTAAAATATTTTACATATTGGGAGATATTTTTTAATTTGCAATATTTTTTAATTTGCAATATTTTATATATGCTACCTTGTCATAAACATATTGTTAACTGGATTATTTTTATGCTTGCTAAGTTGCCTTGGTCGAGTTCAAATCCTATGTCAAAGGATATAGAAAATATACAATTGGCAAATAAACATTGTTTAGAAAAAATATCTGTTTGTCAAAGGATATAGACAATTGGCAAATAAACATTGTTTAGAAAAAATATCTGTTTGTCAAAGGATAAAGACAATATACGGCAAATAAACATTGTTTAGAAAAAATATCTGTTTTTCAAAGGATAAAGACAATATACAATTGGCAAATAAACATTGTTTAGAAAAAATATCTGTTTTTCAAAGGATAAAGACAATATACAATTGGCAAATAAACATTGTTTAGAAAATATATCTGTTTGTCAAAGGATATAGACAATATACAATTGTAAAAATAAACATTCGTTAGAAAAAATATCTGTATGTCAAAGGATAAAGACAATATACAATTAGCAAATAAACATTTGTTAGAAAAAATATCTGTTTGTCAAAGGATAAAGACAATATACGGCAAATAAACATTCGTTAGAAAGAATATGTGTTTATCAAAGGATATAGACAATATACAATTGGCAAATAAACATTTTTTAGAAAAAATATCTGTTTGTCAAAGTTGTGTGCCGTGGAGTTATAATTGTGTGGGAATCAAGCATTGATCTCCATCTTATGCAGATCTACATATTAATTACATTCCTCTTCAATATCCGGTGATGGTAATATTTGCTCAAGGATAACTAAAATTCAGGGATCAAGCATTGATCGTATAAATTAAAAGTGCCAACATTGGATATCAATATCAAACGTTCAAGGTTAAGGATATTCAACACAAAAATTCCCACCTCTTCGTCAGAGCCTGTTTTGGGAATCAAGCATTGATCTCCATCTCTTCAATAACCCATGATGGTATAATTCTGCAGGGATAAGATTAATCAATCCTCAAATTTAAAAATGCCCTGCACATTGGATTAACAATGCACAAAAAGTTTCAATTTCATTATAATATCTTTTATCGTTATTTTTGTCTAGACTTTAAGGGAATCCACCAGTTCCTTTTCAGTGCACAACAAAAATATGCCTAGTATCGAAATGTTTATATTAAAAAAAGAGGGGTCCATTATTTGTAGTAATGTTTAAGTTTTATTTGGTTGGTTGTAGATTTATCAATTGGTAAAAGAGATCATCAATTGGTTTTAGAAAGTATTAATTGCACAGATTAATTAAAATAACAGATATGACACTAGATGTCGCCTTTTCAACATTTATTTGTGTTTCGTACACTAATTCTGAGGCAGTTAAGCCCAAAGGAGTTATGTGTACCTCTTTTGGGCTTCTGCCTCAATATATTGTCAACGAAACACACATAAATCTTCAAAAGACATTAAAATCTAGTGTTCTATCTGTTTTTTTATTAATCTATGATCAATTTGATAGAAAGTTTTAATTGGATGCAGAGAATATGAACTAATAACGATCAATTTAAGAGAATTTAAGGTTCCAAACCAACTCCTGGCTATGGACTGAGCTAGGAATAGGTTGGGTAAAATATTAATGAAAATGTAAAATTATGAAAATTATTTAGATTTAAACTTATTTTAACTATTTTTATATATTTTATAACCAAATTAAAAGGTTAGTATTATAATGGAGGTAGTATATCCCCTTGTAAGTTCAATGTAACTATCAGACTAAACAGAATAATATTGATAAAACAATGCTATGCGCCATGACATCAGGGGGAATTAAAAATAAAAAGATTCACGAAACATGATAAATTTCATGAAATGTTTACAGCGCAGTGCTGATCGGATCCATTTTTGATCTTGATCCTGGATCGAAAAAATAATTGAGCAAAATTAAATTCCTACAAGATTCAGATGCGAATTCTTGAACTGGAAGAAAACATTCTACTTTTTCTTCCCATGAACGTTCCTAATATTCAATTGGTAAATGCGCATAACAGTGCGAGTAAATTCTTTTCTTATCAAATATATTCTTTTCTTAACAATTGACATTTTGTCCATTTTATGATTATTTCTCAATTCTGAAACTCTTTCTAACTTCTTTTCGAGGAGTGNATAAAAATAAATTATGGCCCATCAGTTGAACATTTTCTTCCAAGCGTTTATTATTTTGCCTGAATTCAATAGTCATCAGAACTAAAAGGTTTCCTAATTAATCATTTTATGTAAAATTTACAATTAGCATTGTGGATTTGAATACATTAAAAGTGGATTATAGTGAAGAAGGCTGTAGTGTATTCAGTGGATATTAGAGAAGGAAAACAGTTTATACAGGTAACCCTGGAGGTGGGAGAGAGATTTTATTGGTTGGAGGTAGAGGACGGTTGCAGGAAAGAATGGTTGAAGGTAGAGGATGGTTGCAGGAGAGAATGGTTGCACGATAGGATTTCTGGAGTAGAGGATGATTGAAGATGGTTGCAGAAGAGGATGATTGAAGATGGTTGCAGGAGAAGATGGTTGAGGATGGTTGAGGATGGTTGCAGGAGAGGATGATTGAAGATGGTTGCAGGAGAGGATGATTGAAGATGGTTGCAGGAGAGGATGGCTGGAGTGAGGATGGTTACAGGAGAGGATGGCTGGAGTGAGGATGGTTACAGGATAGAATTGTTGCAGAAGAGAATGGTTGAAGGAAGAGAATGGTTGCAGGAGAGGATGGGTGGAGTAGAGGATGGTTGGAGGAGAGGATGGGTGGAGTAGAGGATGGTTGGAGAAGAGGATGGGTGGAGGATAGAATTGTTGCAGAAGAGAATGGTTGAAGGAAGAGAATGGTTGCAGGAGAGGATGGGTGGAGTAGAGGATGGTTGGAGGAGAGGATGGGTGGAGTAGAGGATGGTTGGAGAAGAGGATGGGTGGAGAAGAGGATGGTTGGAGGAGAGAATGGGTGGAGGAGAGGTTGGTTGGATGTGAGGATGGTCGGATGAGAGGATGGTTGGAGGAGGGATGGAAAAGGAAAGGGATAAAAATTAAAAGGAGGTTGAAAAAAGAGAATAAATTTATTTTTATTTTGATTTCCTAAAAATGTCAATGGTGGAAATAAATGTTGCTGGAAGAAACAATAGTGTTGATGTTGACAAATCCCTGTGGTTCCAGCATGTGGCTGAAACTAGTGAACGCATAACAAGACAATCTGCTGATATACTCAACCTGAAATCAAAAAACTCAAAACTAGAACTGAGAAGGAATTGCTTTAGTAATAGAGTTGTAAACTCGTGGAATAAATTACCACAAGATGTTAAATCCGCCAAAAATATTAATGTATTCAAAAACAAGTATGACTACTACATTAGATCCACAATGATCACTGGGATCAATTCACAAACCTAGAAGATACCATTCTTCCAGCAGATGATCATTAGTTCCTAAAAAAATCCTCTACATATTCCTAGATGGAACACTGAGGATCAACACACAAGTATCAAGTAAGTAAGTCTGAGGTTGGTTATATGAAGGGCCTTTTAGGTAATGTTGATAGTAGGTTGGTGGAGTTGGTGGGAAGAAAGTGGTTGGAAAATATAGAATAGAAATCTGTAAATTTAAACTGAACATTGTCTGACCCTGGAACCGGACATGGTTAGTTCCGAGCGAAAATATCAAATTAGAAAATTAGCTGGAGGGTTCACAGAAACTGCATTTACAGTGTTGAATTATTTATTAAAAGAGACAGACAATATGTTTATAATGTAATTTTTGCTGCAGATTTGAATAATACTTTTCCTCAGTCTCACAATGCATGATAACGATTAAAGGACAAATCTCCTGAAAGACTTGAATTCAAAGAAAATTATACTGAACTAGAAGTTCTATAGAAGGATCTAGAAGGAACCAGCAAGAACTTAGTTAGAAGGAACCCTATATGGAGATACTGTATCAGTTCTACTAATTTAAACACAAAATATTATCAATTACACCAAATCAGAACACAGTTTGTTTTTCGAAGGAACTGATAACAATTGCATTAACTACTCTAATTTCCTTATATATATTTCTTTGCAACCTAATATTTCAAACTATAAATATCCTGCTAAAATCGAATACTTAACCTTTACAATAAATAAAAAGTTACAAAATTTGTACTTAGTTACACTTTCAGGTTCCAAAGCTGTAAGAATTATAAAAAACAGTGTTTGTTTTAAGTAATTATTTTTATTCATTTTATATATATATAAAATTAACCAAAATAACCTGATTTTGCAAATCAATTATTCACTTTACATTCTAATATTTGCATATANCCCCCTGTAACTGCAGTGCACTGTGCACCCTACTCTCTGTCTGGTGTCCTGTACAGAACTGAAGGTATGGTATCTGTATGCACTTTGCAGTGTGTAGTGAAGGAAGTGAAGGGGTTGAGAAGGGGGATTACAGATTAGTGGGAAATTGAAAAATATATTAGAGAAGGAGAAGAACAGATAATAAACTTGAAGGAGAAGAAAGGGAAAATGATATAAACCGGTTTGATGGGGGATGAGGGGGGGGGGAGAAAATCAAGGTTTCCTGTGTAAAAAGGAAGCGCTTAAAATCTATGGAGAAGAGAAAAGTTTGATATGAAAACCGTCCTAGTGTGACACATTAATATGGTGGAGGATATCAACTGTGACGCAGGGACGATTATAGTGTAAGAAATTATGAAGAGGAAAATGGAGAGAGGAGGGGCAGGTATGAATGAAAGGGAAGGGGGAGGTATGAATGAAAGGCAGATCTACATATTAATTAC